ATCATAAATAAGATCTGGCGTCAAGCATGACCTAATAACACCACAAGCTCTACTGTTCATCTTCCTCCAAACCTTATCCTCCATATCTGCGGGTTTCTCTTTTAACTCAAGAGTCTCCTCCAAATTCTGTGCATCCAAGGCATCCATCACCTAACACCTCCACAATCCAAAATTGATCTTATCGTCAAACTTCAGAACATCAATCTTTGTGTTATTGATGCTCAGACTCTGTATCGCCTTTGTAAGAGACGAACCTGATATGCTTGCATCTCCCATGTTGTCGATCTAGCTCTGTTACCAATTGTTGTGTGCGGCGGAAGCTTTTCTTGTGCAACACGAACAATAACTCGAACTAAACCACAACTAATATGCAAACACAAACACAGCAAGAACAAACAATTTACGTGGTTCGGCAAGTTGCCTACATCCACGGGGCAAGGGGGAGGGAGTTCTTACTATTAGAAATCAGAGAATACAAGTAGAGTTACAAATCTCACCGATCAAACCCTAAAACAAAGCTCTTGATCTCTCACAACTCTCCCACAATTGGATGTAACAATCCTCTCTCAAAGACTACTCAAATTCGTCCTTGCTTCACCCTAACAAAAGAGGTTTAGGGTATATATAACTTAGAAATGAATCGGGTCAAAAACCGAAGCCCAGCTCAGAAATCATCGACGGTCGACCGCGACGGTTAACCGCGTAGGTCTTGCGGTCGACCGCGGCGATCGACCGAACCACAAACCCAAGAGTATAAATCCATTACAGTCATCCATGATCGACCGTGGCGGTCGACCGCCTTCATCTCCGAAACCCAGTAGGCCTGCGTGCACGTTGGCGGTCGACCGTGGCGCCCCCCCGCCAGTCTGTCTGGCTGGTTCCTTCCTGTTTCATGTAATTCTTCACATCATACTGAGACGATTTGCATGCTCCCATTTTTCAAATTTAGCCTTCTTACTTGGTTCTGTAGTCTCCGTGGGAGTAGGAGGACATTCTTTATGGAGAGCCAAGTCTAGATCTAAACAGCCTAATTTTAGAAGGATCTTGTCCTTCCAATCAGAAAAATTGTCACCGCTTAGAATCAGGACTTCATTAACTACTGAAACAGGAACAACTGCATTAAAATGAAACAAAATTAATGCTACGAAAATTAAACTTTATTCAAGTAATGACTTTTAACCTTCTTGTGGGTAAAGGTTCTTAAATGTATAGATTCATTACTTAGACTTTAATTAAGAACAACAAAGTTTGATAATAAATAAAGAAAATTTTCATGCCTGTGGGTATAAGAATTTTTCCCATTATAAACAAATATGCTTTCTTAACCCAATAAATTTACATAGATCATTACTTCCCTGTAGGGTGACTTGTAGATGATGTGGCCATTCTACAAGTTAAAAAAATTAATCCCATTAAAACAGGCATTTAAAAAACTATCAATCCAAAAGAAACCATTATAATACATCTCTCGTAAATTCCGAATTACAATTTAAGAGAGTGAAAAAAAAATTCGCTGGATTTTTTTTAATCAAGCCCAAGCCCCTGTTAAGATTTATTAATATGGGGGGAGGGGGATTTGATCCTTACACCTTGGACATCTCACTCAAAATTTTTACCACTAGGCTACTCAATGTACTTGGTAAAGAATGATTCCGAATTTCATAAAACCTTTAATAGTACAGAAAACAAATTGTTCCAAAAACATTTGATAGAACAACAAAATGCATCATAAATTCGGTAGAAATGGCTCTGATACCAATTGATAGAAATCTTATAGCATGATTAACAGAAATTAACACTCGTTTACATACTAAAACGAGATTGAATTAGATTGTGCATACCTTCTTCCATTGTTGAATGCAATAAACACCGAATTACCGATAATTGTTCTTCCTTGTCCACTCCACAACACAAAACCAAAATTGATGGATTATTATCACAGGACTTTATTCATTGATCATTATTGATCATTATAATTTGTGTGTGGACAAGTGACTCCCTTTATACAACTCCCACCATCAAGGAGTTCATAACTACCCAATGTAGTTATGTCTTAAAACTACCAAAGTAGTTAAATTTAAAATTTAAATTTAAATTGATATCAATGTCATATAATAGAATATGAAGAGTCAATATTCTAACACTATAAATATCTCTTTGTTCAGATGAATTAAGAAAGAAGAAAAAGTTAAACTTACTAATTTTATAAGTCAAAAAAATCTTAATAAGAATTAAAATATATATATATATATATTTGGTTCATTGAAATAAACTGAGGGAGGAAAGCTTAGTTGGCTTTAAATTGGAATAAAATGAGACCAAAAGCTAGATTAAAACCATCTGTACAAAATGATATTTATGATATCCTGTGTCAAAAAGGTAAAAGATTATAAAAGTTTACAAAGTAAGAATGACATAATTTCAAAAGATAAATCTTAGAATGAAAATGGCATAGACATTTTTCTTTTCCTTGAAATGTTGTTTTATTCCAACTGTTGAAGAAAGCTAACAACTCAATTTCTTGAAAGAGGAAAATGCTCCCAAGTCAGGGTATTGAGAAGGATGGTAGCATCTGGGTTTCTGGATTTGGATGCAGCACTAGATATTGCAAACCAACCTCTTTATTTGGGTACTGAAGTGAAGGTAAAAGTTCCATGTAATTTGGTTTCCGGTATAGATTCAGAAAACTGGGGCTAATTAGCACTGAAGTACCTTGTAGTTTCCCCTAGCTTGCACTTACATACTCTAATTTGTTCGTGACGGTGACTCTATATCCTTTACTTTCTAAAATTGGCACTTTATAATTAGTAACACCTCGCGTTATAGCAACCAAGGCCACCTTAGCCATCATGTTATATAAATATGTGTTTGTATGTGTTCTGTAGAGAGTAATGCTGATTCGACTGTTGTAATTATGAAAGTCTTTGCGATCTCACGATCAACTTTCAGAGTAAACTTCTATAAATAAATAAATAAAACCTTTCTGTGTACACACCCATGTTACTGCAAGTCAGTTTGCCGTAGTGCGTTAAAATTGCACTTAAATCGGTAAGTTGGTTCAGATTGTCAAAGGTTTTTTTGTCAACATAAGACGCATAGGTGACATTAAACATGATGGAAGTTAAAGAACTTGTCTTGTGGATATAATGGAAAACATCATTACAGGAGTATGAAGTATTTCTGCTAGAAAAGTTAGAATGAAAATTGAATTTCAGAGGCATTAAAAGTGTAGGAGTAATGGAAAATATGGACTAAAGCACATCAGTTTCTCTCTATACTTACATTCAAAAAGATACAAACTTCATTGTCATCACCCGTACATTTTTTTATACTTGCACCCGAAACTCTCCAAAGTAATTACTGGAGTGGAATCTCTCTTTGTGCAATCTTTACAACCCTATATTTTGTGGAATAGTAACAATAAGTCCTTTATATATGCAACCTTATGAAGTTGCCTACACGAACCCTTTTCATACTTGTGGACACTGAGAAACAGAATTTCTATTGCTCAGTTCCCTGCGGCGGTTAGCATTTGGACATATTTCCAGGCATGGTTGTTGAAGTGCTTCGTCACAGGTTTTGTCAAATTCGCTGAATATTTATGCTACGACATTTACACACATAGCAATTGCTGGAACCTCATAAACAGGTTTTGTCAATGTCCTTGAAACTAATATCGATCGATTGCATGAAAAAAGTATCTTTTGGTTCAAATTTAGTTGCATTACTCATGATTCGTATGCTTAGTGCTGAACTTGTGTTTTCCCCCTCAAAAGCATGCTTCTTTCATAATGAATTTGTACTTACATGAACTATTTTTTTGTTTAGCTGCATCTACATCTGCACCAGCATGTGTTTCAAAACACTCTTTTAATCTTCGTCCTAATCGTTCTCGGATGAAATTTTAACTGCTTTTATGTTATAATCATACTTCTATTTTGTTTTGAAAATCACTTAATATTCGTGTTGTCCTTAAATTTTATGAAAATGGGAACATATTATATGCCATGTTGCTGGAAATGTTATGGAAGGAGCCCATGAACTTTTTGTTGGAAATCGTGAAGCCTTTGTTGTGCGAAGGAAAGAGGGTAGGGTATTAGTTGAAATATCTCTATTAGTATATGAGTAACCAAACAAGAAGAAAACTACAAGCAACATGACTTACGCTTTACACAACTTTACACTGAGGATCAATTAGATTTCTCCATTAGAAACTATGTGTAGTTACCCCAAAATCAAGCTTTTAAGGAGCATGCCTCATCCATCACTCCACAAATTGCCACAACCTCCTCCATCTTTGTTTTCATCTCTTTGGCTTTAGGACGAATACACTCTCCATATCGAAAGCAACTGGAAAGATGGTCATTGATAACCTTATACAGGGTTGCTTTGGGTTTTGGTCTTGGGTCTTGTTTGCTCTGTTATTTTATTTCTTTGTAGCCTGGAGTCTTTGTGAGTTGAATTATTTATGCATCTAGTAGTTTAGAATTGTGAATCAAAGATTTGTGAGCTACATTATAGTTAATGTTGGAGCTATCTTATATTTACTGTTTTGTTGGTGAGGGTATATTTACCTAAAGGCAGTTTAGAATTGTGAATCAAAGAATTGACGAAGGTTCATGAAGTGTAGCTACTCTTTTATGTTCGAGACTTGCAAAAAGTGTATATAATTTAAATATGGATCGAAATCCCCTTGAATAGATGTTCTGGATGAAAATTTAACTGTATTTATGCTATAATCATACTTCTATTATGTTTTTAATTTTTTCTTAAATATATCTACTCTTGCCTTATTGACTTATATTTGAATACTTTGTATCGTGTAGGAGCGGGTCATCGAAAAGGCAACCTCATTAGAGGTCGATTCAACCCCAGAGGATGATGCACTTTCTTTCAACCAGATGTTAGATTCCCTGCACGGAGGGCATCATGGTGGTTATGAAAGAGCCATGAGCATTGATGTCACTTGGTCTTATCTGAGGGCGTCCAACATACCAGAAATCGGCACTTCTAATCAGGAGCTACGTCGCGAGGTTGCTGATCTTAGAGCTCGGGTAGCTGAGATGGACAATCTCAGAGCGATGGACAATCTCAGAGCTCAGATAGCTGAGATGGACAGTCTTAGGGAGGAGCTTAGGTCTCAGATGCATTGGATTAATAACAATATGGTACATATGCTAATATACACACTCTCGCATACACATGTACACTAGCATACACAAATATACATACATCTAATACTTATATACACATAAACATATGCATAGACTTAACACTCAGACACATATATACTCATACATTGCTATTACTTTACAGGTTAATTCTTAGGGCGATTGTCCTGCTCCCACTCCTAATGATCCACCATCTTTTACTCGTCTTGCTCTAACTCCTAAGCCTACTGCCGATATACCACATTCTTCTTGTCCTACTTCGACTACTAACACTTCTACTTCCAATGCTCAAGGTTTATCACAGGAAAATCTTGTTAGCATATTTGCAGACTTGAGGCGTTTGGGTTTGTCCCAAGAGGACATTCTTCGAGGAATTTCTTCTTTTCCTTGACTTGATTGATTATGTTGGACAGTTTGGATATTAGAGACAAATACATAATATTAGATGCTTTTTATTGTGAGATATTGAGTAATCATTGTGTATGTATATGTTTTGTCTCTAATATTGTATATTGAGTAAACATTGTGTATGAATATATAACATTGGATATTTAGCAAAGTTTGAGAATATTTTGATTTCATTGTGAGATTTTGAGTACTTATTGCGTGAGATGTATATAAATAGGTAGATAAATAAAAAAAAGCCAAAATTTAAAAACTATTAAAATAAATAGCCCAAACGGTTGAAACCGTTTGGGCTAACATTTGGCCAAACGGTTACATCCGTTTGGAAAAATTTTATACCCTAAACGGTTGTAACCGTTTGGGCAAAATCCCAAACAGTTACACCATTTGGGCAACATCCCAAACTGTTGGAACCGTTTGGGAAAACACCCTCCCAAACGGTTACAACCATTTGGGCAACCGTTGGGGACAACTTGCCCCCAACGCCTTTAGCCCAAACGGGTTTTTTATCTCGCCCAAACGGTTGTAACCGTTTGGGAGGGGGTTTTCCCAAACGGTTTCAACAGTTTGGACTGACCTGTTTTGTACTAGTGTTAAAATATTAATTATTTTTGTTATCTCCTTTCTGAAAAAGAAATCAAGTGTAACAACTCTCCCTCTCCAACATTTCTTTGAATGGAAAGAAAGGAAAAAAAGAATGAAGAACCACAGAAAAATTTTGTTAAACATAGAAAGCGAGAGATGTGGAATATTATGGAAAATCACGGAAGAAAAGCAAAGTTAGTTTCTTGGGCGTTTCTCTTAGAAGCTCTACAAAAGAAGTGCTTAGAAGAAGAGGCAAAGAGACAACAGAGGAAAAAATCCATGTGTTTTCTACAGCTTTTTCTTCCTAAAAGTTCCAAGCCTTCGACACAATTTTGCAAACTTTCTTTGTTTTATTCTCCTAGCAAGAATTATTCGAGTAAGAGGCTTGAGGAGCCACTACATTCTCAAGTGCTAGTCATAACCAGGGGCTTTTACTGATAGGACACAGATCGTCGTTAAAACATGCACAAGGAGGGCATCTATTTCTTTCGGGCAGTGAAATCATGAATATTCCCAACGGGCCAGCAATTACTCTCTTATTTATATATTTTTATTTATCACGTTGCTCTTTTATACAATTTTCCTAACAATGGGCACTATAAATCATTAACTCTGCTTGATAGTAGCTATTTTAAAAATTAGTCCCTTTAATCTTCTATATTATGAAATTAGTTACATTGATGGAAATTGCTATTAGGTCCTCCAATCCATGGAATACCTTATTTTGAATTAGTCCCGGAAACCATTGAAATTGCTATTGGGTCTTTCAATTCTTGAGTTATTATGAAAACAGTCCCTCTTAACAATAATAGAATTAGCAATTAGACAGAAATTCATCTCTCAAATTATTGAAATTTTTTATTAAGTCCCTTTGTTCTCGTAGGTTGTAACAGTTAAAACTAAGTGTTAAGTTGGGCACTGTGTGGGAAGACGTTTGGTGTTAAGAATTGCCTCAAAGTATTAGGAGGCTTTTCTGGAATTACACAACATTTATTGGAAAATACTTAGATGGGTGGTGTGTTTTGCAAGTCCCTTCTCTCCCTGAAACAAGATCTGTCTTATTTCTTATTCTGGGGTTTCCTCCTACTAACCAACC